AAGTCAGGGTTAGTCCTATAGTTAGGCAGAAACTCAATAACTGAATGTAGCATATGTTGGAAGCCTGATAACAAAGGATAGGAGGTAACAACCATGCTCCACATCTTCTCCTAATCCTCATAAACCATCCTGCTGTCACCAGTCTTACAAAATCCAACTGTCTGGCTGGCTTCTACACTTAAAATGCTGGACGACATTGTATTGTGCTATCCCACAGGTGATAAATATTTTGTACTAGCTCGGCAGAAAGCAATTTAGGTCTTGCTTGATTTAACTAATTTTTTTTTACCTTACCCTTATAAAACCATCACTTACTATTATCATTATTACAGCTGGGCCTTGGGGTGGGCATAACGGTATTTGCAAAATCCGTTTTAGCTTTATGCCATGACTTGTGGCATGAATTCCTACACATTTATTGAGCAGATATTGTATTACACTGCAGAAAAAAGCTCAGTTGATTATTACATTCGAAACACCTGGCAGGCAATCTAGTGATATCTGTTTTTAAATCTGTAAATTATCTGAAAGATCGCATTATATATGTTTGTTTTGGATAAAAACAAAGACAATTTAATCAGAAAGTGAATATATAAAATAAAAAAGCTATTTTCTCATACTAAAGTAAGTATGAAAAATACAAATTCAAAACATTTTGTCACCAGAAGAGTATGTTCATGTGTTAGACTTCAGCCAAACTAATACTGGGACCAGAAAAATCTCAGACAGAGATTAAAGGACACAGCTTTTAATAAGTTTTATTAAAGATACTAGAATATCCACTGGTAGAAAGAAATGCAAATCACAAACTGTAAGACTCAAACCATATAAAGTATGTAGTATATCCAAAGTACAAATCTTACATCTCTTCTTCATCCATGAGTCAAAAATGGGCTAAGGGGGGATTTTGGGGAGATAAGAGCAGTGGTTTTATTTATTTATTATTTGCTATTCATTATTTTATAATAATAAATAGTAAAATAATAAAAAGTATGTTGAGATTCAAGGACTTGCCTTATAACTCCTTGCCTGGTTAAAAATACTTGACAAATTCTGATCTTTTTTATGTACAGTTTTTGTCACCAGGTCAGTATAATTCAGGCTCTTGGAACATAGCTAAATGTTGTCACACTTCCTATAAATCAAAGTTTTATTGTCCGCTAATGAATCTATCACCAATTGTTACATTTTATTTTATTTTATTTTATTTTATTATTTTGCTTTTACTTTATTTTATTTTATTTTTCTGTTTGCAGTTCTGGTCAGCAACTGTAATAAAAATTCTATGTAGCTATTATTATTTTATTCATTTATTTAATTTATTCAGTTATTCAGTTTAAAGGTTGCCTACCTTCAGAGGACTTTAGGGGTCTTAAATTTTAAAAAATAGGGGTGGCTTAAATAATACATACTCAGAAGATATAGTATAAATGACAATAAAACAACCTACAGGGGCTCAATCACCTATCTGCTCCAAGCCTAAGAGACAAGTCAAGTTTTCAATTACTTTCTGAATGCACAGACTGGTATCTATTAATTGTTATCATTTTTTAAAATCATATTGGCCAAGGGACTCAGAATAGTATTGTAAATCAAGTAATTATGAATTAGATTCATATAGTACCTTCCAAGAATGGAGTTGGGGTTTTTTTCCAACAGAAGACTTTGATCCAGAAGAGATATATAGCAGAGCAACCTATAGAGTCATGAGAATTTTGCACTGATTTTGTGACCTGGGGATTTTGTGGTTGGGTACACACATTGGCTAAACTTTGATTATTAAATTAACTACAATTGACTGAGTCTCCCATTATCTTACAGGGGATTTAATAACAATAGGAGCAACGTATAGGACCTGTTCCCTCTTCCTGCTGGTTTCTTTCAAATCAGCCATGAAGAATAACATTTTAGGGACAACAGTTCAAAGTCAACTGAGAAACTGTATGCTTTTGATATGCCTAATAGTTAAATCTACCTCATTAGTCAAACACTTAATTATTGTTTTGTATGCCATGAAATTCTTAACAAGTACACATGGAGAGCAGTTTCTGGTTAAAAATAGGGTCAATATTGCTAGATTCAACAGGAAAAAGACATAGATCTCTTCTGAACTTATTCAGAATTCAATAGTAACATCAATTTCAGATATAGTTTCTTGCATTGTGCTTAGATGGCTGAAAAACCTGCAAATTTTGCATGGCTCATCAGACATACATTATCATTCAGAAAACTTGTCACATACGAAGTCTACCAGAACAACTTAACATAATTAGATATAAAGTGGCAGCATTGCTCTAGGCAAATATTTTTCTTTCATTCCCCTCTCTTTACTATAAAAGTGGTTCGTCCTGAGTTCATAATGAGGAAGGCTGCTTTTGAAGTTTTTCTTTGTTTTGCTTGAGTCATGTGTTGCCTCATCCAAGAACAAAATAATCAAAAAATTTCAACATGAGGCCTTCTGTAAGGTGACCTAACATATTTACATTCTGTGGAAAAGATTTGGCAATCTTTGGATTTGTACCTCAATTTATTTTCTGCTACTCAAGCTCTTGTTGACCAGGACTTAAGCAAGATATTAATTATTCCTAAGTATTCTATAAATCACAGTATTGTTTGGATCTCCTCCTATTGGGGAACTCTCTGGTGGAAGATGCTCACATGGAAGGTAGAACAAACATTTCAAAGACACACTAAACATCTTCCTGAAGTTACTTGATATAGATAGGATTCCCTGGTAAATGCTGGCATAAAGCTGCCTTCCCTGGCATGGCCTAATCCACAAGGACTGTCAAGCTTATGAAGTAAGATACACTGCTGAAGCACAATGTAAGTGTGAGCAGTAGACTTACTACTCGGCAGTGCCTACACATATCTGTTCAACATGTACAAGTAAATTCTGTGCCTAAAGTATCAGGATTACTCATCTTCAGACACAACACATCTGATCTTAAAATAATATTCAAAAATAAAAAGATCTTCATCAACGATGATGAATGAACAACAGTCAAACTCTGTCAGTGAAGAAAACAAAAAGGATGCATTCTGGAGTTGGTCTGAATATAGATTTTATTCTATAAAATCAAAAGTCTTCCATTCCCATGAAATTACCACAGAGCAGAGGAAAACTGACCATCCCTGGAGATGACATAGTTTATTCTCTTTGTGCTAGGAGTAAACACTAAATTTATAAATAATGAACAACAAAACATGATACATGAAAAAGCACACCCACCCCAAGCATCTCATAACTCAAGAAATACAACTCCATATTTCTTCTGTGAAAATGTCACTTATGGCACGTATTTCTACTCACAGAATTATTTCCATCAACAAAACTGGGAAGCAGAAATTCCTGTTCATCTATAAAATCTTGTGCACCTAAAATATCTGCTCTGGTATATCCTCAAACCTTCTCAGCAAGCTTTGAGGGAACGCAGAGAAAAAATTCCATCACATAAGTAGAAATCTTGTATGACATAAAGCATATTCTTTTTACGTACATATCCTAGTGAATGAATAGAATTGATGGATCTGCAGCTATGAAGGAAATGTCTGGAAAGTTTTTTTTAGTTTTTTAGTTTTTTCTCTTAGTGGAAGAAAAAGAGTAGTTTGTAAATAGCTTTTCCATCAGAAGAAATTATCACTGTGACTCTTTGTTTTTTTTTCTTAAAGACCCGAAAGGCTGGCAGTTGTCCCCACACTTGCAGAATACCACAGCAGTTGATTTGTGGTGCTAGAGACAAATGGCAAAAGAAAGCCTTCACTGGTTCTTCCAAGGAGACGGTTTCTTTCCTTACATCTTTCTAGCAGAGCATTTAGTCTAGAATTTTTATTTCACATAAAAGTTTAAAGAAATCAGCTTGAGGTAAAGATTATTATATGGATACTGTATATCTTGGCCATTATACAGATTGCACTGAGTTGGAATATGGGGAAAATATAAACCAGGTTTTCTGTCTAAGCACCTGCAACACAAGATTAGGGATAATTCCAACATGCCAAGGCCTGCATATTTCATAAGTGTGTATCCAGAACCAGAGCCAAAATATTGCTTTTTCTCCCAGAGTGGTTCTAGAGAAGAGTGATTTCTCTCATATCTACCATTTTATTGGGGGAGCACGGTGGCTCAGCAGTTAAGATGCTAGGCTTGTCAGATGGAAAGCTGGCAGCCCAGGTTTGAGACTCGAGCGTCATGTGTCGGGGAGAGCTCCCGTCCTTGCCCCAGCTCCTGCCAATCTAGCAGTTCGAAAGCCTACAAATGTGAGTGGATAAATAGGTACAACTTCGGTGGGAAGGTAACAGCGCTATGTGGTGTCATGCTGGCCACGTGACCACGGAAACGTATTTGGACAGTGCTGGCTCAATGGCCTTGAAATGGAGATGAACACCGCCTCCTACAGTTGATCAAGACTAGCAGAGTAAAACCTGCAGGAACTCCTTTTTTTTTACCATGTTATTACATTTTAGTTTTGATAAATACTTTTAGATATTGCAATAAATGCTGCTGTTTTTAACATATGTATTCAGCTATTTTACTAATAATTGTTTCTTCTAGTTTGATTCTTCTTTTTTAAATAAAGTATTCTGGGCGCAATTCTTGATGAACAGTGGTAATATAAACCAAACAAAATAAATAGTACTTTAGGATATATTTTATATCATAACATCAAGTACACTGGTGAAAGAAACCTGAATCGATCCTTTTTTCTTTTGTTTAGAAGTGGGATTTTTTTTTTTGCATTGTGAAAATTTCAACATGCTGTCAGGCATTAACCATTCTATGCTTTATTGATTAAAATCTGTTGCAGATGTTAATTATGCTAGTTTTCATTATCCACACAAAGTGATTTTCAGATTGTCAAGTAATTTATACAAGAATTTTGTTGTTTCTCACGGGGCCTCGTTTTGCTGAAAGTCTGCCTAGATTATGACCTTTGGTTTGCTACTTTACAAATGGTAAATCAATGCAAAGTGATTTCTAAAAATACTCTTCTCCACAGGAAGAAGAACTAAGAAAAAGTGAGGAAGCCAAATATGCACACTTGAGTGATGAACTACATGTATTAATTGAAGTCTTTGCCCCTCCCGGAGAAGCTTATTCACGGATGAGTCATGCCCTGGAAGAAATTAAAAAATTTCTTGTTCCGGTAAGTTGCTTGCAGAGCTATTACAAATGTACAGAACATGGCAATCATTCCATTGCACTAAACACAGTACTTGAAAATCATTATCATTAGTAGATGTTGGTTCCTCTTCCGCTACTGTCCTCATCACCAGTCGAAGAAAATACCAACCCTTGATTATTCTGCATTTGAAATATATTTTTGGAAATTGCCAAATGAGTTAACTGTTGCTTATTCATTGTTGTGTGCTGTTGCTTCTTTTGATATCCAAGAAATGAATCCAAACTGTCAGACCTGAAAGATCAGGCCCAAACTTGAGACCCAATTAAAGTGGTGCATTTCTGCTCATGCCTATGCATGGTTAGCACCTGCATGGAGTTAGATAAGGAAAGGAGTCCCTGTGGATTTTACTCCACTAGTCATTGCCAGCTATAGGGGGCAGCATTCCTCTCTGATTCTGAGTTAGATAAGAGTCAACAGAATGTAAGGAGGGTTGGACTTAGTCTGCTTGTGGCTACATAGGGATTCTAGGCTGATCCCTCTTTCAACTCCACCCCCCGGTTCTGCCAATTCTTCTAAACAAACAGGGAAAAGATGTTAGGCATGACTGAGACTGCTATTACAGATAAGGATAAGAGGGAACATGAATTTATAGTTGGAGAACAAGATACAGGTAAAGTTAACCATAAGAAAAAAACTTGTGGTCTGTGGAACTCTATGGTTCTCCAAAACCTGATGGGGTTTTGTGAGAAACTAACGGCAGAAAAAAAAAGTTTACTGTAATGAAACCAAGGGCATTCACCGTCATTTTTGCAATTTATCAGGGCTGTGCTGTGCTTCAGATTTCATACCACAAAGGTGTTGCATGGTATGATGCATCTTTGAAACTTCCACATCTTTTCCAGGGGTTACATGCAGTCTGCAATGGGCTGCTATGAGATCCCACGAAAGATATGGCAAGAACTTAAGACAATGTTGTTATGTTCATGTTCTGGGACATCTGTTTAGGTTTAGTTTGAAAGCACTGCACAGTGCACAGTTATACTACCTCTTCATTTACCTTGTCTCTTTGCACAATTATTTAACAGACATGAGCTTTTCCCATGCCACTTAGTGATGTAGAGTTTACTTGGGATCTGTTGGGCCTTTCCAGATAGGTTTCACGAATACGCATGCACACCCACATTTGTGTGTCGTCTGAACTGGAATCTGAAATTGTAGATACTTTTGCAACATGCAATTTCAAGAATTTCAGGTAATTCTCGCTGGTGATTTACAAAAAGAGATTCCTTTCATTTTTCAAATGCTATATTTTGCATTATTGTATTATCTCATGGATAGAAGGGAGCAAATTATGATTTTTTACATTTCCAGTTGTGATTAAAAGGGCTCATTTTTGCCACCATTTATCAGTTTCTCCTCCCCAAAACTCATTTATTTAAAGTTCTGCACAGTCCTGTGATATGTCACAACACTGGAATTGTACAACAGTGAAACATCTAATATTTTTAGAATCCCTAAGTGATGAAGATAGTTAAAAAAGCAGGTGTGACATCAGATGACTTTATAAATTGGGGCACATTTGGCTAGCATATGATATATATAGCATACCATATAGTATATCAGTGATATGCCTTATACATTCCTTTGCCCTTATTCATTGTTGTCTTTATTACTATAATCAAAATACTGCAACATGTATAACACATGCTGCTACTAAAACACGCATATCCAACAGGAACTAAATGGCAGACATCCTCAGGGCATAGAATATTAAAGTTAAATAAATAAATGAGTCGGGAGAGCAAAAGGCGACAAAAAAAGAAATGAAAGGTGTAAAAATTCCATAACAAATCTCTGAATTCAGAATGCAGACATTCATTAGAGCCGGGAAAAACCTTAATATTTAGTGTATATAGATATTAGATACATAAACAGACAGAGTTATTAAACAGAGAGGATGCTGATTGGCACAGCAATAACTTCTTTACTTGTGTCTGTCATTTTGTCGTGACTGACCATCTGTTGTCAGTAACAAACCAAAGAAATATATATTCAAAGAATTATTATAAGATTTTTTTTGTTTTGTTTTTTGCTCAAATTTCTTCACCCATCCAGTTCTACTTTCTACGGCTGAGTTAATTCTCCAATTACTAACTACACTGCAAAAGACACACTACTAAATGTTGCTTATGGTTTGTCTCTTTGCTGTGTTCGATCATTGTTTACTCAGAATAGCCTATCCACTGGCTAGGTTTTCTATCCCTAGGTTTAATATGTTTCTTAAAATTTAATTGTCAACCAATGGGCACCACTCTCTCTTAAGGATGTATCTATGAGACAATACTAACAAGAGAATGAATATGTGAAAAACAAGTAGAAATTTACTGGAAAGAGATTTTAAAAAAGTGTTTGTTTGGCAATGTTTATAGTATGCCTATCTCAAAAGCCTTTAGGCAGGTTACAATAATAAAATAAATCAAGATCATTTAAAAAAAATCATCGGGAACCACATATCAACAATAAACAATCAACTCTTCCACAAGACGATACTAACAAAACCTAGCTGCAGTTGAAAGTTCAGGAAAACAAAACTGTCTTTAAATTTCTTTAACAGTAAGACAAAATTATAAGGGAGGGAGCTTTATGGACTTCTGGGGATAAAAAATGTGCAGCCCCCACAGAAAAGGCCTGGTGTCTCATTATGGACATCTCACTTTGGTGGTGCAAGAGGACTCTTAAGAGACCTTTCCTTTTTTATATTATAACATTTTATTGTATTATAAAATTAAATACAAAATACAAAAAAAAACCAAAAACACCAGATAGTAGGACCCAGTGGGGAAGGAAAAGGGAAAAAGTGAGGGGGAGGGGGGAGAAAGAAAAAGGAGCATTGACTTCTGACTTCCTCTGTTGCAGTAGAATAAAGCATTAACATCGAACCTCCACTTTTTGCTTTTCCACAATAGTACAAATTAGCCATTTCTATAACAACAAATCAATCTAATCAGTAAATCCCAAGATCAAAGTTTCTTTTTTTTCCACCTCAAGCTCTTAATAGACCTTCCTGAAACATTGGACATTGGACAGATAATAATGGCATTATCTTCAGAGAAAAAACAAATGCTAAATTGCATTTTAAATTATCCTGATGGACACTAAACCAACCATGGCTGAACTTGAAAAACTAGGCAGGGTTGAGGGGTGGCATTTGAATAACAGAAAACCCTATCACTGTAAAATGCTGGGATAAATTTTTAAAAATCCCAGATTTTTAGGCATCCTCAGGGTTCAACCAGATCCTTCTCAGAGGTCCTTCAGTTCTGCAGTAACCAACCTTCTGGGTGAACAGCAACTGGAAAATTAGGGGTCTCTCTCTCTCTCTCTCTCTCTCTCTCTCTCTCTCTCTCTCTCTCTCTCTCTC